ATCTGTTATTAAAAACTGTCACTTCTGATCAATTTAATGAAAAATCCCACTGACCCCAAACTGTTTAACAGTACAAGTACAAAGGGATACATAAGAATTTCCAAGCGTTAAATGTTATTGCTATAGATATAAGGTTAGACATTTGATGTTTCATGCAATGTTAATGCACCTTGTGTGTTTTGAAATTGATGAGCCTTATAGAGCTCTTGAATGTGAATGCATTACTAACTGTCGATCCTGAGGAAAATCAGCCAGTCGTGCTTTAATCACTCACTGACGCTGCTATACTAGTCACTCTGTTCATAATTCTGAGTCCTTTCACTTGCCACTTCTAATACCATTCTCTCTTTTGCTCTTATAGGCTGTTAGAAATTGTCAGCTACAAAATTATTGGGGTTCACCAGGAAGATGAATTGCTAGAATGTTTATCTCCAGCAGCCAGTCGAACATTCAGAATAGAGGTAAGGATCAGCTGATACTCAACAGCCCTCAAATCCCATCATTCACTGATGTGCACAACAAGGAATCTATTCCCTAGTAAAGCCTCTTAAAATGATTTGGAATCGGAGAGTTGTCGCTTATTTGTTGATGCTGTTCCCTTGAAACAAGTGTAATGTCTTTCGTGGCACAGGAAATCCCTCTCGACCAGGTTGAGCTGGACAAGGAGAATGAAATACTGATTCCAGTTGCACATTTCCACAAGGAAGTCTTCGGGACATTCGGAATTCCGTTTTTGCTCAAGATCCGTCAGGTGTGTTAACTGAGTGTAGATGGATTGTGATCATTTGTTCAGTTTGCGCATCTTGTGTCCTTTTTAATGCGTGCATTTATTGTGGCAGGGGGAACCCTTCAGAGAAGTAATGAAGAGAATTCAGAGCATGCTTGACATTCAGGAGAAAGAGTTTGAGAAGGTAAGAGCAGCAAATGTTAATGTGCAAAAACATTTCCAGGTTTGAAAATTCACTTATACAAATGTAAAAGTAAGGTCAGTGACCCAAGGTATGTAATAGAGCAATTATATTTCTATCTAAACGATGAGAATGTCAATCATAATACTACCTTGGACGTGACATGATTTAATGATTTCCTTCAAACGAAGTGCACAATCATATTAGCGTCATTGTTAACACTTTACGGTAAGGGTACATGGTTGAACAACACCTTAATTAAAATATTTACTAAGATGAGTAGATCATGAATTATGATTTATTACGCATGATCATGATGTTTTCTTTGTTCACAAAAAAGTGTTTACTATCCAGTAACAGTTGTGGTAAATTAATCATCATGAACTCATGCATAAAGAAAGCATTGATTCATGCTTTCAAGACTACTCTTCAAATTATTAAAGAAATATACAAAAATATCAATATATATTAATTAATGTGAGAACTGATTTTCCAAGCATATTCTTGTCTTCATAGGCTGCAGGTAAATGGACAGACCCTAAAATTTGCCAATCACTGCAAATAGCACTTTTCTTTTTTTTTTTTTGACATTCAAATACAGTAGTCATCGTTAACGATGCTTAATCTTTTAGTGACTTCATCATGTGTGTGTGGCCCCTCAACTAAAGTGATGACTTGGTCTTTTGAAACACTGATGGACAATGTGTTTTCATTATTGTTTAAATTACCCAGCATGTTCATGTCTCTTCCCAAGTATTGTTGATTTAACTGATTTATACCGTTTCAGAATAAACAGACTGGTCTTGTTGTTAATACGTCACCATTTTTTGTATGTTTGGATAGATGATGAAACGTATAATATGGACGTATCTGCAACATTTAAATGTAACATTATTACGATTTTACATCTACATAACGTTTTATGGATATTCCATATCATCAGTAATAATTCAGCAGCAGTAAACCTGAGAAATAGAAAAAAAACGCTCACTGCTCTTGGCTGGATAATGTTCAGATTTCAACATCTCTGTTTTGACACATCAGATGTTTGTCCTGACTGTCTAATCCCTTAAGACATGACTGACTGTTTACATTAATTTTGCATCATAAATGCATTTTGAGATCCAACCTCTTTCACGAGTCGCACAGATGCATCCTTATTTTTAATTAATTATAATAAATTGTTGTACACAATAAAATGGCTATAAATTAAAATATTGTTAATTTATTTATTTTTTTGTTATATAGTGACTCAAATTATTTGATGTGTCATAGTGCTTTAACTATTTTTGGGCCTGGATTACTGAAATATGTAAAAAAAATAAACTGACTAGAATGTATGCATCATTGATGTCAAAATCTGGTCTTATTTATATATATATATATATATATATATATATATATAATTATTGTAATATTAGGGCAGTTTAGAGATCTTAAATATGCCTTCTGGTTTGCTGAAGACCTGAATATGTAAAAATAATTGAAGCTATTAAGGTTTAAATGGTAGTCGATTTAAATTGTATTTATTTCCATTTTCGGACAGTTAAATGGCACTGAAATATTAACTAAATTTTAAAGGACTTAAAAAATAAATAGTTTAGACAAAGTGCCTTGTAGACATTGTAGAAAGAAGAAAAATCAGATCGCTGTCCTCATTTAGACCCAAGTTAGGTTTCACCCAGACCACCAGTCATTATCAAATAAATGAATGTGTTTTTATTTTAGTTCAAGTTTGCAATAGTCATGATGGGCCGGCATCAGTATATCAACGAGGAAGACTACGAGGTGAATCTGAAAGACTTTGAGCCACAGCCAGGTATGTCACCCTTTTTTCCTCAAATCAAAATGCATGTGCCATGGATAGATAAAATGGGTTAGCCTTTGCTTGCACAATAATGATTTTAACTAAACCATATAGTTGAAAAGAATACAAGAAAAAACAAAAGTGCTAGTTATTAATGATACATCAATATTTTTGAAAAAGAAACAGCTAAAATTAATATTACCGTTTTAAATAGCAGCACTGCTGCATGCGCTGAAACAATAGATAATTACTGATAAACTGACGTGCTTTATTACTTAAACTTTACAGACGCATCCTAAATGGGATCAATCAGAGATATACGGGACATAAACGTATATTACTAATCATAATTGCACAGAACAAAAGGTTTTGAATAACTTGACTGGGATAGTCATGGTGTAACTGTTAGTTATGCTCTAAAACACAACTGCACAAAGAATTCACATTCTTTTATAGTCATGTTCTCATTATTATTTTATGTAGCCTGTATGACAGACTTGGTAGCACTTTACTGTATTTTCCTTCTCGAAGTGATTCCAATCATATGTCAAGCATTCTAAAACCATTAGTGTGAACCGATCGCATCTGAAGGAAACAATTTGATGTATCTGTCAATTTCTTATCAGGCCAATAACGATAACATTAAACACCGGTATCGATTATAGTGGCCGACATATCGTGCGTTCCTAAACCTTCTCATATTTTGTACTTCATCAGGGAACATGTCACACCCGAGGCCTTGGTTAGGGCTCGACCACTTCAACAAAGCTCCAAAGAGAGGTCGCTACACGTACCTGGAAAAAGCGATCAAGATTCACAACTGACAAGCCCCCACTCTAACCAACGATACTAAAGACTTTAACCAAACCTCTTGTGTGCACCACTTTTAACACCTGCTGTCTGGGTACACAGGCACCATGTATGAAGTCTTCGGCGAATGGAGTGACTGCTGATGCTCCTGTTTTTCTTTTGAGGCTGTTCGATTTGGCTTCTCTAACTATTGACTGCCTATTTGTCTGGAAGAATGAATTGGATTTTAACAAGAAAGGGGGAACCGTATGTCCTAGAATTTTGTTTTGATTTTTATTTTTCGTTGTTTTTGTTTGTTTTTTCTTTTCTTTTTTTAAGTTCGTTTTTAAAAGAATTGTTATGGCAAGAAAGCTGCTGCATTGTGAGGTAGAGGCAATGGAAAGAGAAGTTGTCATTTGCAGAAGCTGAAAAGGATACCTCCATTCTTCAACAACAACAAAAAAAACAAAAAAAAATCCCCACAAATGGCTGATGCTTTTGCTAGTTGCCCTGACATGGTTGTCTCATTTTCTGGTTCCTTAGTGCAACTAGTCAATTTTCATGTTTACACAATTCTTCTTTCTCACTTAGTTTGGTTGGAGAAATTCAGTTTTTCGTCTTTGGAAATCCTGTATAATAAAGTAAAGAGCCACAGCATCTGTTTTAAAATAAATGAAAATGAAATAAATCGTCTGTACTTCATCTTGCACGTTGGCACTTAATAATCCAAGGTTTTACATTTTTCAGCACTGTTAAATGTAATCTTTGGTTGGAGTTTGATTTGCATATCCTTTTGGGTTTGTCCCAATCTTTTTTCCCCACCTTCTCCCCATAAAAGCCCCTCCCCCGCTCTTTAGCTCCTCTGTCACTGGCTGTGGGATTCGCTTGCTGACGGCTCCAGATTCGTTGTAATGTTTGTTGGCACGAGGCTGCAGATGCATAGTAGACTGGTTTGGGACATAGAGAAACCAGCATTAATGAACCAATACAAACTTCTTTTTCTTTAAGCACAGAAGGAATGCTCCCTAGTGCATAGTTGGCTTTGTAAAAACAATTTAAATTGTATATTTAAAAAATGAACATGTAAAATTAAAAACAGATTTGTTGGGTACAGATCAATTCAGATGTTCATATTCATTGTGTGTAGGTTTATTTTGGATCCTGAAAGTTTCATTTTTGGATTTTTTTTTTTTTTTTCCCTAACTAATTGCAACCGTTTGTCTCGTTTAAGTGCAGTACAAAGATGACCTGCAGATCACATCTTTCTTTTTTGACTATTTTTTTTTCTCTCTCCAGTCTAATTCCTCCGTGTAGCAGCAGTGTACGACAACTCTTCCTGTATATTGCCTTTTTGCTGGAAAATGTATGTTGAATAAAATTTTCTATAAAAGCTACAGCCATGGTCCGTGGAGAATTGACTCGAGATGGTGTTGTTGATGATTGTAATGCTGTGCTAGTGAAATGTAATATGAAGAAAAACACAATACAGCTTCTCATTAAGGTATTGCACAGGCATGTTTATGGCATTTAGGTGCACATTTGACATTATGAAGTTTCAGAGGCTTTTTACAGAAGTGAAACATGGCTTAACAGTAACCCAAAGACAAAGTGAATTTTTATTTAACATACAGCACAACCCTATTATAAGGCCCCATGACTTTTCCAGTTTGTGATATACAAGGATGACAAGATTTTTTTTTTATTACACCATTTGTAATTTTTTTTTTTTTTTTTAGAGCTTGACAAACATGTAAATATTTTAGAGCTTTTCTAATAGAGTTAAATTAATTTACATGACTTTTCCAGCTGAAGAAATCACTTTTAAAAGGAGTCCATCTCATCTCTATACTCATTTTTATTAGACTGTGTGAACTGGTTCTTCCAATGAAAAATTAAGTAAATTGAAATTAGAAATATCTAGATGTTTTAATGCTTGTATTGGTTCAAATCAATTGAAGTCATTTTGAAGGCCCTTTTGAAGTTTGCTGAGGTCCTCTAGCTTGAAAACCACCATTTTATATGGTGTCGTTGATGGCAAAATGGGTGATATTTACATTGTGATCCAGTAAATGTAGTTAATACAAATCAAATTCTGTGAACACCTCAAACTTGTGAACCCTTAACCCTGAGTCCTTTATAGATATACAATCAAAACCATGCGTATTCGTTTTTGAACGTAATAATACAGACTAAACCAGATGAACACCAATAGGTTACAAACATTGCAAAGCACAAGTTCATACGGGCAAGTTTGTACAAGATGACATCTGTGTTGGTCTGAAAGTGTCCTTCATATAGTGTAAGGTGCAACACGTCCATGAGTGTTAAAATCTGGGAGGGGATGATGGGACCGGGTTAGCAGCATCGCTTCTTTTCAATGTGCAGGATCTTAGAGCATTTTGGGCATGTATGATAGACGTCTTTGAAATGCTTGGCAAAAAGTGGAATCAGACAGCAGAATAAAATCAACCTGGAAGAGAGGAAGACAGTCACAGTTTGTTGGTGCGCACAAGATTTGATGTTTTCATCTGCAAATTGAAATGGACTCTTACCCGCAGAGGATGAAGAGTACGAATGACGCCCAAGCGAAAACTCCCCGTTTGTAGCTGATTTCGGTTAAGACCTGCTGTTGGCAGTGCGTGCAGGTTGCCATTCCTGGCGTGCGGCCCAGCTCGTATGAATCATAACCGACGAATTTGTTTTTGGCTTCAGTTGACTGGGACTGAACTAGAGGAGAAGCATGTGTTAGTAAGTATTGTCTTTATTATTATTTATTTATCTTGTCTTTACCATTAGCCTATACAACAGTAAGTTCAGGTTCAATATTTTAATATCTATATTTAGTGCAGCTTTGGGTTTAGACCGTTTTTTATTTGATTCATGAATAACTGGAGTAGAATCTTGCAATTCTGGCTTTTTTTTGTAGTTTATAAAATAAAATCGTATACATTGCTACATAGGCTCCTAAAGGATTGAAATGGCCCAGAAAGTCATTGAAGAAAATGTTAAATATTCCATGTGACTACAGTTGCTCAACTATAAGTTTATCAAGCAACGAGAATACGTTTTGTGAAAAAAAAAAAACTTTATTCAACTATTCCTTTTCTTCCTTTTGGGCCTGAGACGAGAGTTCAAGAGATTTCCACGACGCATGCATGAGAATTGCGATCTTCTTCAACTCTACTTCAGTTCAGGTCTCACGCATGCGTCGTGGAAATCTCTTGAACTCTCGTCTCAGGCCCAGAAGGAAGAAAGGGAATAGTCGAAAGAAGTCGTTATTTTTGTTTTATTTCCGCACAAAAAGTATTCTCGTCGCTTGATAAACTTATACTTGAGCCACTGTTGTCACATGGAATATTTAAACATTTTCTTCATTGACTTTCTGCCTATGTAGCAGTGATCCACCTCTCAAATTTAATCAAAAATATCTTCATTTGTGTTCCGAAGACGAACGAAGGTCTTACAGGGTTGGTACAGCATGGGGGTGAGTACCCAGCAAACAGGGGACGTCCTCCGGACGTTGCGAACGTCTAATTAGGTCCGGATCTGGTCCGGTTCATAACGTTCGCTGGGGGACGTTCGGAGGACGTCCGCATTTGGTCCGGTTTATAACGTTCGCCGGGGGACGTTCGGAGGACGTCCGCATTTGGTCCGGTTCATAACGTTCGCTGGGGGACGTTCGGAGGACGTCCGCATTTGGTCCGGTTTATAACGTTCGCTGGGGGACATTCCGAGGACGTCCGCATTTGGTCCGGTTTATAACGTTCGCCGGGGAACGTTCGGAGGACGTCCGCATTTGGTCCGGTTTATAACGTTCGCCGGGGGACGTTCGGAGGACGTCCGCATTTGGTCCGGTTCATAACGTTCGCTGGGGACATTCCGAGGACGTCCGCATTTGGTCCGGTTCATAACGTTCGCTGGGGGACATTCCGAGGACGTCCGCATTTGGTCCGGTTCATAACGTTCGCTGGGGGACGTTCGGAGGACGTCCGCATTTGGTCCGGTTCATAACGTTCGCCGGGGGACATTTTGAGGACGTGCACTTTATTGACATTATGGAAAACCATAAAAACATAAGAAGTGTTGGTGGTATAAAAATACTGCCTATTAGCATTTTTAGCACATGTTCAAATGAGATATGCTTGAGTGTTCGCAAAAACAATAATAAAAAAATCTGAATTAAAAGTGCCATTGTCCCGGAGTGATAATTTGCACCTAGGAACGGGTCATAGCTTCAAAATAAGTTTTAGATTCATGCTTTAATAATGATATTTTTATTCAAGTAGGTTATAATTCTAATTTCTGTTTGAAAATGTATGACTTGATGCGTTTTAACGGGCATGCGCGTGAAGTTGAGTTGCCATGGAAACGGAGGGTCACCAGTGCAGACAGCAAAACTCCGACTCTCCCTGTTTTCACTGCTTTCAGGTGAGTTTAGTCTCTAAAATCACACAAATAATACACACGACTGTTCTTGAAACTTCTCTTAATTTTAACTGGCACGCTTCTGTTTAATATTTAACGTTACTTTATAGAAATGGGTTAGTGTCTTCGAAAAATCCATTAGCATCACTAACCGTTTAGCTAGGCCTACAGAAGAGTTAACGTAAGGCTAACATTATAGCTTGAGCTTTTGTTTATGAATGTTTGGGCTTTTAATCACATTTTATGTGTTGATTAGAGGTTTTGATATTTTTGTAGCCTAAATATTTTGCTTGGAAGTGAGCTAAAAACGTATGTATTTAACAAAACGTTACGTTTTATTACTGTTAATCGATGACGTCATTTACACGGCTGAAACTAGCTAATGGTTCATAAATATTGATAAAAAGAAAAATTATGTGATTTCAGCAGCAACAAGATAACTGTTGGCTATGTGACAAATGGTTTGTTGTGTTCCTAGATCGTTCCATGCTGATGCCCTGCTCAGTAGCAGAGTTGAACTGACCATCATCTGAACCTGGCAACCGGACACGCAAACACACACGCTCTTTTTTGATAATGAAAATAAAATTATTTTGTTTCCTAATATTCCTTGTTGTGTGTTTGTTCCTTGGGTAGTTAATATGTTAAAAATACTTCTAGTGAACGTTAAAGTTCACTATAGAAGTCTGAAAAGTCCCCGAATGTTTGCTGAACGTCCCGCAAACGTCCCCCGCGACGTCATGTAAACGTCCCGCGAACGTCCCCCGCGACGTCCTGTGAACGTCCCGCAAACGTCCCCTGCGACGTCCTGAGAACGTTTAAAGAACCCTACACGAAGACGTTCAGGGGACGTTCGCAGGGGACGTTCAAGGGACGTCCTGGGGACGTGTTTTTGTTAGCTGGGTAATTAATGACTTAATTTTCATTTTTGGGTGACCTAACGTTAACCCTTTAACCTCAATTGTTAGATTTCTCAGACAGATCCTTTTTTTATCACAAGATTAGGTGGCTCTTAAAATTATAAACTATAATTATAAACTCATAATTCATCACCCTGCAGCAGAAGAAGAAAAAAACAGCTAAAATCAGCCAAGTTGCTGGTTGGTTAACTGGTTGTAGTAGCTGGTCTTCCAGCCTGGTTTTCGAGGGGTTTAAGCACTTCTTCTGCTGGTCAGGCTAAAATTAGTTGAAAACCAGCATGGCCAAGGAGAATAGCATTTTTTCAGCAGCGAGAGAGAAAAAGTCTGAATTGCAAGATATAAACTCACATTTTGAATTGCAAGAAACGGTCAGAACTGTGTGTTGTAAACTCACAATTCTGAGAAAGTCTGAATTGTGGGAAATAGAAATATATAGATTTCTATTTTTTATTTTTTTTAAATCTATATAGACAATATAAGGACACTAATAATGGTCCAATCTAGTAAAATCCTGGCATTATCAAAACATGGGCCATTTTTTTTTTCTGTGTGCCCATTGCAGCTAACAGTTTTTCCACCAATATTTAACAGGTAACAGACTGACCAGATGTGGATGCTTTCTCTTGGATTCCTAAATCTCTAATAGTGGAGCTTTGTGGGGTGAACGGAGTGTGCACATGGTAGACCTTGACGTTGGAGCCCCCGGCACCCTCGACTGTTGATGTCAAGAGGAAAGATCCGGGTAGAACATTAATATTTACTTCATATCCATTTCAGGTTTTTACATTTGTTTCACTGGATTGCTTTCATAATTATGATTATTATCATGAAATGAGTCATTCAAAACGACCAATGATGACTCGGCAACTTACTTGGAATGGCATATGGAGGCGGGTCCCCAGTTCCGTCAGCACTCATTCTGCTCATTTAAACTGCTGGGACAAAATTAAAAAAAAAAAGTCTCAAGATATGTTTTCTATTAGGTCTGTTGCAATATACTTACATATGCTAAAGTGTGATAAAATGACAATCTATGCTGGCAACTAAAAGGATGTATGTTTGAAAAGTCACATTGTGAGCAAGGCATTTGAAAACTGTAAGTATGAATCCATGTTATATTTTAGGATTGCTTGCTGTCTGTTACTGTTGTGTGTACAAACATCATAAAATGCCCAGTAAAAAAGCTCTTCTTGAAAGAGCAACGCCTTTGAGTTTAGGGGAAGAAGCCTGAGACTGTCAGGGATGAGATGACATGACGGTCTTCCCATAATGAAATAGTCTGAACACTTCTCTTCGTCCTGCTCAATTATCATCAATCTATGTGTAGCTGCCTGCCAACTTCATGTCAGCTAGACATGTTTTCGCCAAAGTGTATAAAATGTAGACCTATTACGAGTCATGTGATGTTTATTTCCATGATGCTACAGTGTGGTAAACGCCTTGGATAATAAAAAGACAACAGTTCCACAAGCCTAGAAGTGGAATGTTGCTCCACTACATGTCCAACTGCGGTAGTAATACTTGAATAATCAAACCCTGATGGTATATAAGATCAGCAATGTGTAGGTAGTAGAACATACCAAATATTCCCATTAAATTTATATTTCAAAGTGTATATGAATTATTGTAAAGTTAATTGTATTATATTTTAGGTGTATCAATAGGAGATGACCTGGAAACCTAAATACGTCAGTTATTTTACAGCTATTTTAAAGCTCACAAAGTCAAACACACCCATTTATTGCTCAGGCCAGCTTTGATCAAAGCATTTACTATGCCGTCTTTTTTTAGTAAATGAGGATTTAGAGCTGGCCATTCAAAAATTGTTGCTGCAATTAGTTTTAACAATTTAACCCCAAAACCATATTCTGGACAAATGTGGGCAAAATAGTTTTGATTTATTAAAAAAAAAAAATACTTCCCTTGGTCTGAGCGGTACAAGACCTGGCTAATTTTCCTAAGTTTGCCTCCTGAAGACGCACATTTTTTTAATTTTTTTTTTTTTTGGGGGGGGGTGAAAAAACAAAACTCCTTAATCTTGTATATGCGTCAAAAATGGGCACCCATAGAAATGAATTGGAAAAACTGTAATTTAGAGCATTCTAAAATAAGCCAAAATAAGATACCAGGTGACAGCAAAGTCACTTCATCTTTAGGTTTTAGCTCTAAAAACTTATTGGAATGATATTTTAATGTAGTTAAAAAAATCTAAAAAAAAAACTAAAACATAAAATACGCATAATTTACATAGAAAATATGGTACTTTTGATGTAAATAAATTAAAAAAAATACCCCCAAAATTAAAAAAACAACACCATAAATGGATAGACAAAACTTTATCCAAGACAGTGATATAACATTTATAATAAATAAAAATTAAGATCACACCTGAGTCCTATGTGCCCACATTTTTCCACAATTACAAGATTAAGGGCTATAAAGTGAATATGGTTTGAGGGCTACAATTTGTTGAGAACTTAAATACCCAACTTAACTACACTAAAGTTAACTACACTCAACATTTTTAAGTCAGGCACGAACACATACTTTTAATGTAAATGAATCTGCTGAATAAATAGTTCTAAATGATATTTAATTTACCTTCAGACAATTAGCTCAAGAAAACTACTTTTTCTGGTTATAAAAAAATAATACAGTATTACAATAGTTCCATAATGTGTTTGTGAACGGGGTAGTTACAACACAACGCATAACATGATTTCACTCATTATTTTTAAAACATTTACTGTCTTCTAATCTTAAGCAACTCAGCTTTAAAATGAAAATAAATCATTGTAATCAACATCCGAATATTTAGCATCAGTTCTAATTAAATTCAACTAACAATTCAAGAAAAGAATCCTGAAAGGAATATAACAAGCAATGCAAAAAAGTACTCAGTACCTTTTCTTAGATCATCAAAAAGGCCCCACCTAAATCCAGACCCAAAACTATACAGAGAGCTCTCTTACCTGTCCTGTTGCTTATGGTTAGACTAAAAACCAGTTTCGATGGCATTTAGAAGCTTTTCATAGTCACTCACCAGCTCCACCCCTGCCTACGTCTGCATTAGTATATTCTGTTTTTTTTTTTTTTTTTTTTTTTTTTTTTTTTAAATAAATGTTCTGATGTGGGAGAAACAGGAAGAATTCTGTATTTCTTGACAGAAATAAAAAAAAAGTCTCTGAATAATCAGTTTCACCAATAGCATCAATGGTGGGTTACAGTAACATAATACTTCTGTACTGAAAATGACAAAAGGTTTATTTTGGTAGCAGGTGTTTTGTTTTCGCTTTTCACACGTTATTTCCATTGAATGAAAACCATTAATAGTGTTTGCTATCATGTGAAGTTGGTCAGATATGGTAATCAAAAATTAAGTTGAAGTTGATATCTTATGTAGTGACTCCTTTACTCTAACCCTTATGTTCTCCTGAAGATATGAGTCCTCAAATATGTATGTGTAAATGATAATATAATGAAATAAAATGATAATAAAGAATAGTATTTTTTTAAAATTAACTTATTTTCTTATCAAATTGTCAAAACCCATTTGACAGTTATTATGGAATCTTTTAAGAACCTTTTGGAAGTGTGAATGTTGATACAGTAACATTAATGTGACCCCATAAAAAAAATAATAATAAAAAAAAGAAGAAGAAGAAAAACAATAGTTTAGTAGACCATAAGCAGAATTGAATCAGAAAATCTTAACATAATCTGGAAGTAAGTAAATTTATCATTTATCTACTGGAAGTAGCATGTATTAATCTAGATGGCTAATGTTTTCTCTCCATACATTTTAACATTTCATGTTCTATAAATTAACAGTAGTTAATTAACACAAATTAATAATGAGCAACGGTTTATTTGTAGTAAACTTCCATATTAGTAGCCTGAACTGTAGTATAGTTTGTCATGGTCAGTTCATGATTTAATTAATTAATGTTCGCATTAATGTTAACAATTTGATAGTTGTAAAATACTTTATATTATAATATATTTAATAGTGTGATCAGTGACATCAAGAGTAAAACTTGTATAGCTTATAATGAGTGATTATGATTTTTTTTGAAAGTCATCAACCTATAAATACCAACCTGATATGTTAATTATACAAAACAGGGTGTAAAAGAAAAAGAAAACAAAAAGGCCCTGGGTTCTCTCAGGCCACAATGTAAAACAACATGTTATAGTGGTCTGAATATTTTGAAAAATCCTTTCTTGTAATTAACAGACTAGATAATTGGTTTCCAGCAGATTTTTCAGGCTTTTGTTCTGTTTTAAAGTGTAAGCTCTGTGTTACACACTATCATCACACCAGCATTAAAACTTACTTAAAACAGATTTTGTGATCGATAAACGTCCCTACGAGGGCTAAGGCCAAAGAACTATTTGAGATGGATGGATGATGGGTACGTGAGCTGAATTAATGAGGTCTCAAGGTGTGGCAGGGAGTGGAAGTGTGTTGCTGATATCATGAAAGTGGGCTCGGCTTCTCAGCTGTGTTCTTTTGTGCGACACTCCTTTTAGTGCGGTTTAACTTGTCCGGCGGCATTCTGTCTGTTCCACATTCCATAAAAAAACCTTTCAGATGTTGATGTTGAGTTTTCGGGCCTGTAGTATTTTGAATGAATGAGGTATATGGTGCATTCCTATGTCCTACTGTACACCCAAAGCACTTTACAATTATGTCAGGGATCTCTCCTCAACCACCACCAGTGTCCATCATCCACTTGGATGATGCGACGGCAGCCACAGTACAGCTCAACACACACCATCTATAGGTGGAGAGGAGAGTATATCATCTGCCAATTTCCTCTGGATGTGCACTGGAAGAGTATGATCTCTGGTTATTTGTACATGTTACAATATCTTGCAACTGTACTTCTTATTTACAGCTGTAATTAAAATGATTCAACAACCATTGCAAATTTTTACAGGTTAAAGGATGCACTTTACAGACTTTCAGGTGTCTGCAATGAACAAATCAAACCTAAATAATTGAAATAGCTCAACACAACAACTTTTTCAAGTTGTTTCCCCAAATTTAACTGAAAATGTAACTTTTAATAACTTGTTGAATGTTCCTAGAGACACTGTTGGAAGCATAGTTCGCAAGTTTAAGGAACAGTGGTTATACCTTGACGGGCCAGAAAAAGGAAGATATCAATGGCTGCAACCAGATTTCTGAGTAGGCAGGTTCAGAAAAAAATCCTTGAGTGACTGGAAAAGACCTGCAGCAAGACTTAGCGGCAACTGGCACTGAGGTTTCAGTTTGCACAAGGCAAGTACTAAAAGCATGCGTTTTCCATGCCAGAACTCCAAGACGTACACCACTACTGACCCAAAAGCACAAGAAAAGTGCTCAAAATCATATAAATAAGCCACAGAAGGTGTGGGATGCCGTTCTGTGGAGCCATAAACCAAAACACTTTTCAGCCCCATGGATCTGAAGTACTGTATGTCTGTAGGAAGAAGAACTACATGCTGAAAATAAAACTCTGCCTGTTAGGCATGCAGGGCCTGGTGATGCTCTGGCGCTGCTTTGAAACCCAAGAATATTTCAGAACTGCAGGCTCATGAGGATTTATCAGAAACACTGATGGGGAAGTTATGAACATCAAGTGAGATGTTTTAAATCAATCGCGTTCCAAACCTTTACTTAAAGCCTTTAGGCAACTGCAAGTAATTTACTTGAAGCCTTTAGGCCACTGCAAGTAATTTCCTAACAAACTAGCATCCTCATTCAGTTTAAAAAAAAGCATTTTTTTTTTTTTTTTTTTCAGATTCCAAATTCTGACTGGATGAGATTAAAAACACAACTGTGAACATGCATTTTAAACCAATTAGAATGTCACTTAGTGGACAGAGTGGATTCTGATTATTGTTCATAACTTCTTACCGAAGGTTTGTGTGTCGATTGCTGTTACTGCACTTTTATAAAAACAATAAACCACTTGGAAAAAGTGCTGTAACTTTTGGGAGAGTGAACAGGCATTAAGATGTGGTCCTGCAGGGTGTGGTTGCAACTAAGAAACATTTCTTGTAGGACGTCAAAAGAAAAAGAGATTGCAGTTCCCGTGAAGCATGGAATGACAACCATGGCAAGAGCGTTCAATAATCACATTCCAACAATAAAAGTCCACAGAGAAAGATCAGCTAAGAAAAGCAAGTAAAATAGGGCCCAATCTATTGATGTAATATGAAGGAATTTTCCTTAATGATTTTTCACAGGTGTTTTCCCCTTCTTTTGAATTTCGTGTTTTAGGGTAAAAGAAAATGTCTGTAAACTGAACTGCAGGGCAGAAAATTACCAGTACCTTTTCTGTTTTTGCAATATGCATGCAGTGCATTTATGCATCTGATTAATTTAAGGATAAATGATAAAGAGTTAAAATGAGAATCCTGTTAGTTTTGTATTTAAAACTTGTTAGCATTTTTGGATCATTTATTAAAAAAACTATATTCTCGCTAACCGTACTAAAAGCATCACTTTCTAGGTTATGCAACTACGTATCAACTAGTTCTCATTACAGTAATAGTAAATTTCCTTTTAGGCATTATTCAATCATGTATCAGTTAATTTATTTATTTTAATTGAGCTGCACTGAAATATTTCGACCTGGTGTGAACTGAAATTAATTTAATGTAATCTGTGTGAATACCCAGATCTTGGTGCTGAATTGTGATCAGCTCCAAATTTGGTCCCATAGTAATAGAGATCCGAATTCAGCTTGGAGGTTATTCTTGTAAGCACTGGTTGCACAAAGAATGCATTGTCTAAATGTGAAACATGATCCATGAACGCAATTTGTTTATTGCTAGGCAACCATCTCTCAACTGTAGGGGGAGCTGAACATACGCTTTTGGGCTCAGACTTCAGGTTTCAGATGTACTTTAAATTGGTCAGCCATGTAAAAGTTAAAGGAATAGTTCTCTTCAAAATGAAAATGTCATCATATACTCACGTAAGATCAAGTTATTCAAACGGCTGTAAATGAGGTAAAGAGACCATGACCAAGTGGACCAACAGAAGTGTTTTGTTCATAATCTTCCTGCCTTGACACAGAGAAGAGCACCAACTGAGACCAACACCCTTAACCCAAAGACTGAGAAGGCTGAATCAGCAGGTTTGTTGTGTTTAGCATTTAACTTACTGTCTTCAAATATCATATTACATCGGTATATGTATTCCTAGTTCAAAACATATCAATGGATGACCTTCACTCATCTTCAGAGCATTGCTGAAAACTACAACATTTCAAAAAGCATAGACTTTTTTAGTATGCCGTTTGAGAGGATCTCCAGAGAGCTCTGTGCTTTTAAAGAAACATTAGAGATCAGTCTGAGTTCCTTCAAATCCTGTAATAAGAGTCGACAGAAAAGGACTAAGAGCCTTGACTTGAGTCTAGCCAACATGAGCTTTGAGGGAGAACAATCTCAACCTCAGACAAATCCATATGCAGATCCAGAACCAGCAAAGCCACATCGGTTATTTGGAGTCCTTGAGGAATCAGGTTCGACATGGGATGCAGAATCTTCTGGCCTCTCTCAAAAGACATCAGACCCATAATGAAATTGGAGAGTCAGATGCAACAGTTTTAGATCCCCTCTTTTATGAGGAAGCAACAAGGTGAGGCATGTCGAGCCTATAAACCAAAGTCCTAAAAACAGAATAGATTGTCAACTTCTGGGCACACCAAACAACCACAGACACACAACATAAGACACAGACAACGGCAGCCCTGCAAGCACAACAACTCAAGCTGAAGAGGAAGTTTTTCAACTTCCGCTTCGATAAAAAATCCCACATATTCAAGCCCCAAAGGAAGAAGCCAGAAGTAGATATTTCGAGTGGTTTTGTGTAAAAATGAAATTGAAATGCATTCATAAACGCGCGTATCCACAGTTTTAGACAAAAACTTTTACTGCAACTACTGTATTAAATTTAAAATTTCAATCAATAACCTTTGCTTTAAATAAACACATATTTTTGTTGGTCACAGTATATTCAGTCAACGCAGTGTACGTAAATTCGTCTTCTTGTTAAGCAAGAAATATAAATTAGCCTATACAAAATTAAAATTTCAGACTCCAACATAAGAAAAAATGCTGTAAATTTAGCAGGTAATGAACCCCAAAATGTATTCATACTGCCAATCAGTATGAATCTTAACCAATCAGCAACACTGTTCAATATAAAAACAAATTTGTGTTTTTCATGATTTACAAAACTATCTATCTATCTATCTATCTATCTATCTATCTATCTATATCTATCTATCTATCTATCTATCTATCTATCTATCTATCTATCTATCTATCTATCTATATATCTATATATATATATCTATATATATATATATATATATATATATATATATATACAACAATTCGACATTTTAACTAAAACTAGCTAAAGTAGCCTAGTAGCTACTGCAACAAAATCATAACAAAAATAATGATTATATTTTCAAAATAATTTTGTCCAATTTTGATATCATTAATTATCATCAAAAATACCAAACAGGACAGTTATGAGCATGTTCTTAAGCGTTCAGAACAGTCCCAACTAAACAAGACCTATCGCAAATCATTGACATAACCCAGAACTACATTTCCCAGAATTCATTTAAAAACAGTGTCTTTATTGGACTTGTGTGCTTTCCGTACAGTCGTCACGGGATTGCTTATGATTGTTAGTCATGGGGAAGAAGACATGTTCGCAGTAGTAGTCCAGTTCGTAGGTTTAATGTATGTATAATTGTGAAAGGTGACATGGCCAACATTGCGAAGAAAGTGTCATGGTCTGCCCGAGGCGAAGATCGCGGAGAGAGAACGCCACTGCTGAACGGTGCCGATGATGGGAAACACAACAGAAAGGTACCAGACAAGCAATGCAGACTAGCCTACATAACAGACATATATTAAAGATTCAATCTGGAATGGTTTGGCTTCTACAATATAAATTATTTGCTCTACTGATACGTTTTTAAGCATGCAAAGCCAAGGTATTGTGTTGGCTTGCAGACTCAGCAACATAATATTGACAGTACAGTTGCTTTAACTTCATGTCATTCCACAGTGTTGAAACGAAAACAAAATAGTTCTTAAATCTCTTTGTGTTACTTGTAAATCCGTGTAAGGTCCTTATATCTTTGTATTTGTGCAGGGTGTTTTGCAACTCTGGATATTTGGATTTTTTTTTTACTTCCCATTTCTTTTAACCCTCTTATTCGGCTAAGAAGCTGCAAGCACCTGTGATCATGTGACCTACATTGAATCGGTAGATTTTTTGTAAGAGCCAACGTTAGATCATTGCTAATTCTGGCCCCTCACTGTATACGTTACTGCACTGGGCTTCATACATTGTTGTGGGGCCCCTTTTGGCATATATACACACAAACTACTATACACACACACATATTATATTGATGTAGAATAATGTAGACTCTTGATAAGTGTTATGTGTTTGGTTCATAGTTATCTGGGGGAGGTATATTTCATATAGGCAGACTGAGCACTGTGGACCTTGAGGAGGAAATCACACCGGAAGAGGTAAAATCTGTTCGACATCAATTCATTTTTATTCATTAAAAAAAGGACACTTCAAAACAAAGAACACTTCAATATCCCTTATTCCAGTTCAAAAGTTTGGCTTCACTGTTTTGATGCAGCTGTAGTTTCAGTTTTAATTTCGAAGTGCTTGTGGTTTATTCATGATTTGCATGTTAGGCTGCAAATAAATCTGTTCTAAACCTCTCCCAAAATCATCCACTCTTGGCAGGAGACTCAGGAAAAAAAAAAAGCCTGACTTGATGTACTTGATTATATGTGAGGTCATGTTTCCGATGTGCTGGCATGAGGTCAAGTTTACTCATGGCTGCAAAGAGTTGATGTAGCTAAATAAAGTGTTGTGCTATTCTGATTGCATGAGCATAGAATGACTGTATATGCTCTTGATGAATTTCAACTCTTGAGTCTGTTTTCTTTTCCAATTTACACAGGACATTGTGAGAAGTCGACTAAAGGAAATCCCTCACAACGAAAAGCTGCTGTCCCTCAAATTTGAGGTAATTGAATTTAGAGATGACCTCTCTCTTTCAATTGAGCGTCTGTTGGGAATGTTTTGAAAAATAACTAGGGTTTCAGTAACTTAGCTTAAAGGTCCCCTAACATGAAATTTTCTCATTCTGAGGTTTTTAACATTAATATGATTTCCCCTAGCCTGTTTATGGTCCCCCGGTGGCTAGAAATTTCATTTGGAAGACACAATGGGTTAATTTTATTTTCTCTGGAAATGCGCCGACACAACTTCCGAAGGTTTTGTATGGTCCAAACATTTCGCCAACGGCTGAAGTTTCCTCAGTTTGGGCTGATACAGAGCTGACCTCGATGAACGTCTGGAAATAAATCATCGAGCTACAAAGCAACAATTTCTGATGTGTAGCCTAATTGTTCAAGTTCAGATAGGTATT